CCACACCATGTGATTAACGCAGAAGTCAGGTGTAGAGTTCTTGGGAGGGAGGAGTGGTAGGTTAGTTTACGAGGTTATGAACCTTGGTCGACTGAGATGGTTGGCTGGGACACATGTTACGTATGCCTAGTCGTCGACTGCCTCGTCACACAATGTTGGCCGAAGTAGGCCTAGGGTGGAAAAAGGCCCGAGGTGACCAGACTAAAACATGGCACCAATGTATGAAGTGTTTGACTGTTGGTTTGAGCCATGTAGGATGATGCAGACTACGTGGTTGGTGTCCGCGGGACAAGAGGAACCGGTGGTTGGAGACTGACTGTAGGTGATGACATGGCTGAGAACCGATGCCAGTGGCGCAGATGTACCCACACACACTATCCTCATCTTAACGCCAAACCGAATCACACCATTCTGTCATTCTTCCTTTCTTTCCTGTCGTAATTTAGAGAGACATTCAGTTCTCATTCTGAATGCATTGATCCATAGACACACTCACTATACAGTAGATGAGATATATAGAGTGACAATTGTAAAATCCAGTATAGATCTAGATGAAGAGAGAGAATGACCAGAGAATCTTTGTTCATTGAATCAGCCAACGCATAACACATGTAACAGGAATGATTCATCCTTACATATTGCAGATATCAGGAAATGTTTACTATCTTCAACAACATAAGAGAATGAAGAATTGTTGGACTACACTATAGAAGTGAAGTCGTATGAAAGTCGTATGAGCGACAAAAATCTTGTTCAACACATCATGTGTGTCTTATCAAATCAACAATCTAATAGGGAATAAATCTCCGGAGAATTCTCGTTCACATCACCTCAGAGTTTGTTCAATGACTTTCTTGTTTATATGATTTTGGTACCTAATTTATCTACCACAGTCAAGGGTGAACTGGGTTGCAACTCTCTCTCTCTCTCTCTAGCACATACATACACAGAATAGCAAGCGTTAGGCATTTCTTTGTGTTCCATTACAGCCGGTTTTCACTCTATAAACTCATGGATATTAACCGAAAGTGAAGTTAAGCAGGAGTAATATAAATCGATTCGAACAATGATATACTTAACGGTGTTCTCCAGAATTTCATTCAAAATATCATTTTTGTTCACCATCATGATAATCAGTATAGGCTTGTAGGCATGTCTATATCACCAACCATCTGTATAGGACAATTTACTCATTCATATATTCATTCTCATCATCCTTATATCCATGCGTATAATCTCCTTACTTCTAACTAGACCGTAAGACATTCCTCATCAGTATACACCATATATATATATAAGTCAACCATACAATTAGCTATCAACCTTTCAGTCAAGACAATAGGAAAATAAGAAGAAAACGAATCAATTTGATTAATAACATATGCATTCATCGCCTTTCCGTTTATCACAATAAATTGTTAAGTTGGTCAGTTCTAGCATCTGTCATATATAAGATGATACTTAAGGATTGGTCAGAAACTACTCATAGTTTAATAGTAGTGTGTGAAATGATGTATGATGTGTCAACCACTTCATTTACTTCAAGAATTGCATCAGCTCACCGAATAAACTGATTTTGAAATAGTGGAGAAGATTTGTAGCTCAGGTGGATAGTTTTGGTTGTATTGTCTTCTCTGAGGAGCTGAGTTGTTTAATCGTGAAGATTTCATCATCTTTCCAGACAACATCATCAGCACTAACTTCAGATCACAGAACATAATACAATCAAGAACAAATTGACCGCTTACAAAATCTAAGCTCATTTGGCATTTAACAAGATATCTAGCTATCTATTAAAGGACGAGTATACTGCGCTGGAGTCCATTATGACTGTGAGATATGACGGTTAAAAGTAGAAAATATGAAGCTATTACTGGAATCTCATGACACATATCTTCGTAGCATTGTTTGCATTTAGTGGAATCAAAGTGTGAGCAAAGTTGAGGTCCAAAGAAGGGTACTACACTAGACAGGAAAGTCGATTGATGAAGCTGTCGATGTTAGTTGATTGAGATAGCTTGAACATGTACTGTGCATGCTGACCCATAGCCTACTTCTACTTACAATGCTACGGAAAGTTGAATTCGGTTGGATCAAGTCTCTGATAGTTGGTCTGAATCGTGTGACGAAATGTAGACTGTGCAGTTGAGGTTCTTGAGACGAAAAGAATCACTGGTTTGAAGATTGTTGGTGACCTAGTTGAAAATTGATCGGTGACAATGATGTAGATGTATTCACTCTCTTTATCTCTGAATTGCTAATTCTCTCATATAACTTTGTCTACTTTAATGTCACTCCTTTTGTACCCACCTATTTTTTTGCCAACATGAAGCGATACCCTTGCTTCCAAGGTTCTACAAACAGAGGATACTTTCAATGGATAAAGGATATATCAGAGGAATCTATTCTTACCATGCATATCATTATCTAGAATGAATTACTCCCATCAATTTATGGTTCATTCTATAAGAACTTCGTTGATCGCACAACTGAAGTGCACGCGGGCAATCTTGAAAACACGTGGAATCGTCTTAAAAGGTTTCAAAACCCTAACCCTAACAGGATCACTGAATTGGGGGGGAGATGTTATGCAGTTATATGGATGAGTAACAATACAAACATTGGTATGGTCTTAAAAGTGATAAACCTACGGAAAATCTACATATTTTTATTTCTCATGTAAAATACATCCATACATTGTGAATAAAGTAAATTACCCTTCACATTCTTGATTGTGATTGGTCAATGCATACTAGAAAGTGATTGGTCGATATTAAAGTTCAGTTTAGGTGTTTCAAGTTACACCTACTTTAGCCTAATCCGATATCAAGTCACTTCTACAGGCAATCCTGACAACAACAAAAACTACCTTTCCAGTGGAAACAAAAAAACCTAATCAGTGTTGATAGTAATAATAATAATATATTATTATTGTTTTTTTTTACATCATACCGTCGTTGATTGGACCGAATTGATCGGTCTCTATTGACATATGGGATCCTGAGCGGATGCCTCGATATTACCGGTGCTCTAATTGTAGTGATGATGGATAGTGGCTAGCAGTGGAATCCAGGATGCGCATTTCGTCCTATTTAGGACTCGTCAGCTGGATGTACCTGATTCCCAGTGAGTGTTGTTCCCATCGGGATTCGGACTCGGGAGTGATCGCTTCAAACGTATTCCCGTCACACAAGAAGTGGCTTTCGTGGCTCGCTGGTCTGGTGGATAACGCTCTCGCATTTGAAGCGATCACTCTCGACTCCGAATCCCGATGGGAACAACATCACTCACTGGGAAGCAGGTACATCCAGCTGACGAGTCCCAAGTAGGACGAAACGCACATCCTGGATTCCACTGCTAGCCACTATCCACCATTACTATGATTAAAACACATGCAATATCAATACATCCATATACGAGCCTATATGCCAAGAGAGACCGATCAATTCGGTCCAATCAGCGACTGTATAATACAACCAATAATACCAGTTATACGCATCATTGTTGGATAATTATCTGGAAATTCCCAGGTGGATCTGATTGATTCTAAGCATTTTCAGGAATGATTTTATTATTATACTTATTCGTCCCTTGAGGTCCTAGTGGAACATAAATCCGCAGTAGCACGTCGCATTCCACCCTCTTCTCTGCAGTCTTCTTAACCTGGCTCCACGACTGCCCATAAACTTTCATGTCTTCCTCAAACGAACTCCTCTATGTCAGTATCGTCTCAGACGCCCAACTCGTCGTTTCTCATTTGCGTCCCACTCGAGGGACTGGCAAGACGTGTTATTTCCTCAAACCATCTTCCCAGTTTATGTCCAATCCATTTCACTCCCCGTCTGCATATTTGTTAGGCGATAGGTTCTTGCCTTGTTGCCAGCCACACAGAGTTCCTTGTTGCTTATTCTTATTATTCTGGCCATCTAATCTCAGTCTTCAGAATCGAGTGAGCGTAGGAGGCAGATGTTCATGTATGATGCCTGCAGTCTGTTGGAAATGCTTTTCGTAACGCGCCAACTCTCTCCAACCATCACGTAGAAACACTGATTTACTTGACTGACATAGGTAGTGTTGAAAATATGCATCTCGTTCACGATTTATGCTGAGTGCAGTGCATTGGAGTGCAATAAATCTCCAGACTGATTATTTGTGATCGATGAAGGAAGGCCTGTCTTGTTGTCTTTCCGATCCTGGCTGGTTTTGACATCCTCATCTGTGCCCGTTCCGCCGCCTGTAGTTGAAACGATGCTGTCTAGGTAGATGAAAGAAACAACTTCCTTCATATTTCTCCTGTTCATGGTGAATGGTGCTTGTTGTTGATGGTGGTTGATTACCTTCATCACCTCTGTCTTCTCTACATTCACCTGTAGGAAGTCCCATCTTCGCTTCCCCCTTCCCCTAACTCTTCTATCGACGTGTTAGTTTTCGCCTATACATCTTCTAGTTTGTGCGACATAAGACACTAGACATAAATCATCATAAGCGAAATCCAAATGTTTTGGGATGTTTTCATCGGTCAAACAGTCAGCGCATGCCCATCTTCTCACAGCTCCTAACAGTTGTTATTTGCATGATCCCATCAAGTCGAGTCGACCACAATCAGGAAGATGATCAGTGATAGTAGGCAGCCTTGTCTGACTCCTGTCTTCACTTCAATTGAAAGGCATCACTGAGCTTTCCATTATGAATCACTTGGCATGTAGCATCATATAGCATATAGCTGTTGTTGAAATAGGTTCATAAAGGTTCGTGGTAGTAAAAGCGTAATGTTCGAAACAGCAGCTGCCAAATTACCTGCCAATCGATGCTATTGAAGGCCTTTTCAAAGTCGATGAAGTTGAGGTAAAGAGTTGATAAAATCAATTCGCCACACTTCCAACTAAGAGAATAGCATACTCTTGGCTTAATATCTTGACCACAGAAAGAGTAGATAAAAATTGAGCATTTCAATCGATAGGGAAAGAGAGAAAAAAAGGCAAATTTAGGAGGAGAATTACCCGATCACGCATTTTTTCACGAACAAATAAACGAAGCACATTGAATGGTGCACGAAACCAAAATGGTGGTTCAATAATGATAACTTTTCGTAGACGAGCAGGATAAACACCCTAGATGATAATGAGTAAGAAAGGGAAAAAAAATAAACAATTAGGTTGGGATTCACCATAGACTGACATCAGTTGGAGAAGCATTGAAAACATGGGAAAACTGGATAACTGTTTCATTTTGGTATGCGATTTCTCAGAAGTATGTACTCATGACCTCCTCACCAGAGATTCAACCCACACACACTAGTAGCTAACGCATCCTTAAATGAGTGAGGGAGCCAATATGGTTTTTTAGTAATAAGCGTGGTGCTTGTAGCCTTAAATTACAAGCACCACGCTTATTACTAAAAAACCATATTGTCTCCCTCACTCATACCTATCCGTAGCCATGGAGAAGGCATCAGTGTAGGGTAATACTCGGCAACTATTTAGGCTTATTAGAGGATATCGACAAGAAAAAGATGATAGTGAGTGAAACCACCACCGAAAAGGATACGACGCTGATAACCCCTCAGGAAAGATGGGTAGGACATTGGGTGAAGCACAGTCTAACTGGCTTTCAGCAACGCTTCGGTTGTCCAACATCCAGCCAGCTTTAATGGAATGTAAATGTCGATCCTTCAACCCTCTTTGAAGTTGAGAAAGTTGTATAGAATCTGAAACCATGAAAAGCAGTAGGACCTGACAGTTTCCCACCTGATCTTTTTGAACGATGGAGGTAGGAAACTGCTAATTAAAGTGACGGAGGTACTAGATAGTACATGGGAATCAGAGGCAGTCGCGTCAAACTGGTGTACTTCTCTGACCATCTCAGTCTATAAGAAGGGAAGAAAGTGTGCCTGTGACAACGATAGCGGAAATAATCTGACTAATATTGTGTCGAAGATCTTAGGGTTCATAGTTATCCAATGCTTAACTGGAGCTCAATAACAACAAACTCGAGAAAACCAGACAGATTCCAGGACTGGTCGAGGGTGCATCGATCAGATTTTCACCCTCCGACAGATTCTGGAAAACAGGCATACTTAGTGGCAAGTGGCCAACACTTGTCATATTTGTTGACCTAAAGGCGGCACTTGACTCTGTCGACTGTGGTGTTGTGGAAGTGTCTAACTGTGAAGGGAGTGACAAGCAAGTATGTAGTGCTTATGAAAGCTCTCTACTCGAACTCACACAGCCATGTCAGGGCTTATGAAGAGTTGTCATGTCAGTTGACAACAACTAGTGGTGTCCGGCAGGGATTTTCACTGTCACCGTTCCTAATCGACTTAGTCACAGACGTACTAATAAACATAAATATAGGTACTTCGCACGTCACAGAGATTGACCTACTCCCTGGAGGTCATGTGGTTGACTTCGAATATGCAGACGATATTGCCCTACTAGATAGACATGCTGATCAAATGCAGGGCCTTGTGAACCCGTTGAGCAGAAATCTGTGTGTTTCGCTCGCACCTGTCAAATGTAAGATGATGATCCAGGACTAATTTGCTGCAACCACTCCCACTTTAATGATAAGGAGTGAGGTGGCGGAATGTGTCAGTCACTTCACTTACTTGTGGAGTTGTAATCAGCCCGAACGGGTTGGTTGCTGATAAAGTCTCAGCTCGAATACAGAAGGTTCGTTTAGCATTTGCCAACTTACGTCATATGTAGCGCCGACTATCTGTTCGACTGCAAGACATGGCTGTTCAAAGTAGCATTGCTCACATTTAATGGAATCAACGTGTGAGCAATGTTGAGGTCAGATGAAGGGTACTAGGCAATAAAGATAAGTCGATTAATGAGATGGCTTGGATATGTACTACGCATGCCGAGTCATCGCTTACCTCAACGTGCCATAAAGTAGGGAAAGTTGGATTAGGATAGAAAAGGGCTCAGAGTGGTCAGTCCAAGACATGGCACCAGTCGTAGGGAGATGTAGACAGTCTGGTTGGGTTCCATGAGACGAAAGGAATCAGTGGTTGAGAACACTTAGTGACAGAGGTGAAAATCAGTCGGTGACATTGGCGCAGATAGTATTCACTCTTTGAATATTCACATTAACCGTTATCTTCCCAACTTTATCTACTTTGATATGAATGTTTTTCTATCCATCTGTTCTTTGTATAGTTCTGTAAAGTGTGGCAACTTAAGCTAATACATTCCTCTACGAGGTTCTACGTTGGATTTGTCAGTCAGTCATATCTGAATGTACTGATGAGGTACTAGTTTTTGTATTTTCCTGCCAAGAACTCACTACTCTTATTCATGTGAAGTAGTCGAGTAAAATTAAGAAGGAAGTTATGAACGATACTAACACAATAAGACACTTGAACTCGTTATGAATACCGACTGTTCTTTCTTACTACCTGAGCCACATAAGTAACTGAAAACAAAGACTGACCTGTGACTGAAGAAAAAACTTCATTTGACAAAAAAATACATCGTTTAATTATCATGAACACTAGATTTGTTCTGATTGGTCAACTGTAGGATAAAATCATCCAATCACATTTATCCTAGCTACACAAACTGTGACATGAAATGCAAAAGCTTCTATCTTATTGGTTGATAACTTAGGTGGCTTTATTAAGATCCTGGGAGATTTAGAAACCATTCACATTAAGGTATACAGAGAAAAAGAATAATCATTTATGTCAGCTTGTATGTAATGAATGAATTATATATGTCCATAATCCAGGCAACAAGTATAAGATTTTAAAAAGCATAGCGAAGTTGGTCAAGTTATGATGAATTAGTAACTGATTGACACTTCGACAGTATAAACTATTGGTTAACTATGGTTCTCTTTTTTAGGATATCTATCTATCGTTCTAGCTACCTGTGGATATATTATCCAATCACCGTTCAGTGTCGATGTGACCTTCATACGCTAAGTTATTGCTTTATAAGACACCTACGTCATTATCATCGAAGGAATTTCAGCCATGACAGCAAGAATACTGAACCGACTCGGAATGATGGTCAGGAACTCCATTGACTGGTCCCACGATTTGTTTTGGCCGTCCTTAACCCTCTCTTTTAACCTATTCCTGTTTGGCTTATAATGTCACATAGAGATCTGTATGCACATTAGATTTCCATGCCGCTTTAACTGATGAAGTTTCAAAACTCCATCAACCAACTTTCCTGTCTTGCCTAGTACCCTTCGCCTGACCTCAACATTTCTCATGTAGTGATTTCACGATACGTGAGCAATGCTAAGAAGAGACTTCTGATCAAAACTCTATAACCACTTCTTATCTTCTACTTTTAACAGCAATATCTGTCACTTATAAAACGGGACAGGACGTATACTCGTCGTTTGTTAAATATCTCGCTAGTCGGTGTCACAAATGATGCAAGTTATATCCAAGCTAGGGTTTCGTCAGTAATTCGCAGAGTAAGTGAAACAAGAGAATGAATGATATAACTATTCCTGAAATATTAATTTCGCACCTTAGATTCGCGTACTGATTGAATGGACCTCCACTGCTAAACTTATAAATATTTCAAGTTGTTATCCATCGTAGACTGACTGACATCAGTTGGAGAAGAACAAAGGAAATCTGGGAGCACTGGACAGCTAGCTGTTTCGTCTTAGTATGGGACTCTTCAACATTGCGCACCCACGACTCCACCCCGCCAGGGATCGAACCCGCAATCTTCAGCTTCCCTGGCCAGCACGTTACCATTAGGCCGGCCACTTCTATTAGCTCACGATATAGCGCAACCGCCAGCCAGTGTCATCGTTGAGTAACTGTTCTCATAACCATCAGGCTTTACCCCCACCAGTTACGACTTGTCATTGGAACTTCGGGAATACCTCTGGAAGTGAATCATCAATGAGCACCAGTTCAATTGAATTTTGAGGGAGTTGTTGCAGGGATTTGGAAATATTTCAAGTTGTTATTCATCGATTCACACGTCTTTCTACCTACCCTTCACAGCTATTATAGTTACATACTGCTGACAGTTTTGTTATTACTAACATTATTTAGAAGCCATAATTGTTTCATTTAAAAATATTTTGTCCGAAGAATGGGAAACTTGAAGAGAAGAAATTACTTTGAATAGTGTAATGAATGTTATTAAACATAGAGGTTAATGTGTTTCTTTTTGAACGCCTTGGTGGTACTTGAAGTGAAGTGTACCGAGTTCGAATCTCTCTGAGAACATCATCCCTCACTGGAGTGAAGGTATACCTAGCAGACGAGTCCCAAATGGGACGAAACGTGCATTCTGACGTGTATCAACAAATAATACAGAAATTTTGGCAGTTATTTGCTTATCAAATCTAATTAGATTATCAGTTTCTTGTTTGTTAATTGTCTTACAAACTATTCAAGTCCTCCCTATTCATTAAATGTTTATCCAAAGACTTTTCACCGCTATCATTATCGAATCTATATTCAGTGACATATTCGTTCTAAAGAAACTAATGATTATTTGTCTAGAGATGAAGTTGAATGATATGAAAGTCATTTAGTGAATTGACGACTGAATGAGTTTGTTGTGAAGATATATGACGAAGTGTAGACAATATTAGTTTTAATACGTTCATTATTCCCATTGTGACAACAAAAAAAACAAGATATTCAGCGAAGACGAGGACTCCTTTCAACAAATTTATTCTCATCCTGTACATTCGTATAAAGACTGTAATCCGAGAGGAAGATTCAACAATAATAATGATGGTGATGATGATAATTATAATGTTGATAGTTGCTCTTATAGAGCAAGGTAAATTGGTCGTAGTTAGAGATTGCTGTCAACACGTATATGAGAATATATTCCTGCATGGTTTTATAAGAGTGAAAGGAAATTCCAACCATTCAACCGATCACTGACAATGATTTTAAGGTTGTCTATCGAATTCGCTAAAACACTTCACGTTTCCTCTGTGTTCAGCTTCTAAAAACAGCAGAGGCTTTGGCTATCCATGAACTGAGGCCTGACCTATATGTATAAAATAAGTATGTACAGTCTTTGTCTCTATCTTGGACTTAATTTATTTTAGTCTTGGTGTGATTCGCCCTCTTTTATCATGTTTCACCCCCCTTCCCTATTTTTGTCAGATTAATCTTTATACTCTTATATCGTCATTATCACTCTGTTTTTCGTACTTATTTGTTTCCGGTGTTATATCATTTGATCTTCTTAATAATTGTAACCTTTTAACCAAAACATTTTCAACTTACTCCAATTAACTTGTCTCATTTATATTACCTAATCCTTTGATCACTATAGTTGTTTTCATATGATACCTTCGTTGATTGGACCGGATTGATCGGTCTCTATTAGCATATAGGCCTCTGTGCGGATGCCTTGATATTGCCAGTGTTATTATGTTAATGATGGATCGTGGCTAGCAGTAGAATCCAGGATGCTCATTACCTCCTATTTGGGACCCACTGGTCGTCACTCAGATGTACCTGCTTCCCAGTGAGTGATGCTGTTCCCACCAAAGAGATTCCGACTCGGGAACGATCGCATCCGCAGAGGAGCCCAAATGCTAATAGAGACTGATCAATTCGGTCCAATCAACAACGGTATCATATGAAAAAAATTATGCTAAGAACTATACCCGTCTAACAAAAGGTAGCTTTCGTGGCTACGTGGTGTAGTGGATAAGGCGCTGGCGTTTGAAGCGATCGCTCCCGAGTCCAAATCCCGGTGGCAACAACGTCATCTATTGGGAGGCAGGTACATCCACCCGACAAGTCCCAAATAGGACGAAATGCGCATCTTGAATTTCACTGCTAACCGCGATCCATCATTAACATAATCCTTTGATTGTTTATTAATGTCCTCACCCTTTTTTAATCTATGTGCACTTTGTAAACGATTTGAAAATCTTACGTAACCTCTTCTTGTTATCATTCCACCTTAACGTTATCAACTATCAACATTGTAATTATCATCACCATCATTATTACTGTTTCAACCCCATTATTTAAGTTAAATCTTCCCCACGGATTATAGTCTTTGAATAGCAGATATATATATATATATATATATATATATATATATATATATATATATATATATATATATATATATATATACAAATGTACAGGATAAAAATGAATTCTTTGAAAAGAATCCCCTTCACTGAATATCTTGTTTCTGATATTATTCACTTTATGACCACGTTACCAGTATAAATTATCACTACTCATAGTCATACCTCAATGTATGATCACACACACACACACACACACACATACAACTCTCGATATTTCCTTTTTATAGTCCCATCATCCAACTCATATTGTTTGTTTCCATTGGTAGTAAAATCTTCCATATCTCTGATATAAATATAACATCATTCCTATTACAAGTGCTGGGTGTTAGCTGATTCGATGGACACTGCCTAACTATATTGGACTTGAGTACAGTGATTTCATCTCATCCACTATATTATATTGTTAATTGTTGCATTGCGACAGCCGGGTCTTTCATTCTATATTTAGCTAAATTCTTATGTACTACACCTCACCCACATTTATTACATAGAATTGGATTATTTTGCTGAAGTGATTCTATCGAATCCTTAAACCAACCGACAAAGTTTATCTCTGAGTGAGCTTTTAAGTATTACAATGCCACCATAACTAATTCCAGGTATGCTGAGTATCCTACATAAAGTTTTTGATGTACCTTCCATATAGGGTAACACAATGGAGATTGTCAACTCCTTCTCACTCGTCTTATTCTTATCATTTCGTTTCTTGTGTGATTCTACGAACTTCTCAGTGAACAATACAGGATAGTTATTAACTAGAACGCTAATGAGATTTGTAGCTCTGTCATTCAGACATTTGACTAGACCTGCCTTCACTGACCGACTGACTGACTGACTGACTGACTGACATTGGATGAGGTGACCTGAAGTCGAGATACCTGTTGGTGGAAGGTGTTGGTTTTCTGTACATGGTTGTATCCGAACCACTGACGTCTCCCCTTCGCTTTATCATGCATTCCAAGATAAGCAATTCTCTTCGTTCCTTTTCTACCTCCTCATAATCGAATTGCATTGCGCCTATGATTCAGTTTATGTGTTATATATCAGGAAATTGTCGATATGTTCCCATTTCAACACACTAGTGAATGTGTCATCCATATATCGCAATCATATCTTAGGTGCAGGATTATACGTTTGTAAAGCCACGTTTTCCCAACTATTCATAAATATATCTGCTACGATTGGGGGATATTGCTGATCCTTCTGTTTGCTTCATATGTTTTGTCTCAAAACATGAAGACTGTGAACATCAAGCATAACTTTACGCCTAATATCATCTCATCAACCAATATCTTACTTCTTTATTTAGTTAAAATCCCAATCGAACTAATCCTAAACGACTAGTTTCACATATAACTTTACCTCATTCACAGTCAATACATCCAATTTCATAAATTAGATTATTCCGTTCAATTGGTTCCATCACATCCTTAAGTCAGTCGACAAAGCTCATCTCTGAATCAGTTTCTATGTCTAAATGCCCCCCTAATTCCAGGAATGCTGAGTATCCTACATAAAGTTTTTGATGTACCTTCCATATAGGGTAACACAATGCAGATTGCCAACTCCTTCTCATTCGTCTTATTCTTATTATTTCGTTTCTTGTGTGATTCTACGAATTTCTTAATGAACAATACAGGATAATTATTAACTATTAGTGCATATTTTGTGTGCTTCACTTCCTTGTTTAAATCCTTGCAGTGACTAATCAGTTTGCCAGCTCTATCATTTAGACATTTGACTAGACCTGCCTTCACTGACTGACTGACTGACTGACATTGGATGAGATGACTTGAAGTGAAGATACCTGTTAGAAGTCAAGTGTATAGGTGAAACAAGTCGATGGGGATCAGTTAGATTAGCGGAAAACAGGAATTCAGGTGAATATAGAATGAAAGACCTGAATAAGATCACATCATCTAGGAAAACACTCAGCTATTGAATTGCATGCATTATTACACACGTACGAAGTCTCTCAACCACCATATGGAAGCACTGACTTGACTGAATCGGTGTTGAAAATCCGGATTTTGTTCCACATGCTGAATACAAAAGATCTCCAAACTGGTTTCAGGTTAATGCGGGAATGCCTGTCTTGCTGTCTTTCCGATCTTGGCTGGCTTTGACGTCCTGGTCTGTGCCGCTGCTTGTAGTTGAAACGATGCTGCCTAGATAGATGAAAGAAGCTACTTCCGTAAATGGTGATTGCAGCTTGTTGTTGTTGATGGTGTTGATTGAGTATTTTCATCAGTGCATTAAAAAGTTAGTGCTCCCTATTACCTCGATCAGTATTCACTACATTTTGAGTGACGGTAAGGATCACTTTAACAACTAATGAGATAACCAATCAGGTTCCAGTATTTCGTCTAGTAAAGTATTTTTTTTTACATAAAATAGAGGAATTTAATTGGCTGTCTCATTGGTTGGTAGAGTGACACCTTTAAAGTTATTCATATTTTTAATCGGTCTGGCTTAGAGTATATGTCGAACTTAATTGGCCTATAGATTTCTTAATCATCACAGTAAATACTGATGTTATACAGTCTGAGCTGTGACTTCTGTTTAAAATTAAAGATGGCTAGGTTTAAAACTATTTCAAACAAGAAATAATACTTAAGTACAACTTCAGTGAATGAAGTGAGTGCCATTTCGAGAAAGAGTGAAACTATACCGAATAGTACAGGATCAAACGGATCAAACTAGCCTGAGATAGTGGGGGGTTTTACACAAGGTAAAGATTGATTAGTCGATTTTCAGACTAGCTATTATTCACAGTAAACGCTGTTGTAGCATCAAGGTAGGGGATTGGATATGTTCGATTTTGAGGTGATTGACTTAAGTGACCACCCTAACAACTACTGAAATGAAAAACTATCTTCTCAACTGAAACCTGATCAGCTGTTTCATCAGTTGCCAAGGTGACACTTTTAAAGTCACTTGGACTGTATAACCCATCCTAGCAACTAATGAAATAATCTTAGTGTTATTGCTTGTATTACATCTTCGTTGATTGAACCGAATTGATCAGTCTCTATTGTATATATGGGCTCCTGTGCGCATGCCTCGATATTGTCTGTCTTTTAATTATGTCTAGTAATGATGGGCAGTGACTAGTAGTAGAATCCAAGATGCGCATCTCATCCTATTCCGGATTCGTCAACTGGATCTACCTGCCTCCCAGTCCCGAGTGATGTTATTCCCACCGGGACTCCGACTCGGGAGCGATCGCTTCAAACGCAACAGCGTTATCCACTACACCGCCGAGCCATGATAGCCACCTCTTGTGCGACGCGTATAAGTTTAGTGTTATTGCTTGTATTACACCTTCGTTGATTGAACCGAATTGATCAGTCTCTGTTGGCATATGGGCTCCTGTACGGATGCCTCGATATTGCCTGTCTTTTAACTATGTCTAGTAATGATAGGCGGTGACTAGCAGTGGAATCCACGATGCGCATTTCGTCCTATTTGGGACTAGTCAGCTGGATAATCAACTGAAATAAGCAGTTAAACTTCTTTGTTTTTGTATAAATACAGATTTCTATCAATCAAAAAGCACACCATGATGCTAGTTTTTTACCTTACACTACATAATGATCGATAGAGCTCGATTAATCCCCTAGGGCTAGACTATATGAAGTTGGGCAAAGAATGGATTTATAGTTGATGTTCAAGAAAAAACACTAAAATCTCTGAAAAAGCCAGTTGTTACCAACTTCAAGATAATAATTGTTCAGTTTTTTGTAGTCACATATTAACACAATATGAGAACATGGAAACAATCAATGAATGAACTCACCTTGAATAGATTCAATAACTTGATACATAAATGATAATCAAAGTTTGAATATTTTGTATCACGCATATCATAGAGTACAATAAGTCCTTTCTTTTGAGATTGTTCACTATAAAAAATAAATAAGATAACAGAATACAAAAGTAAAGTTTCAATAACAATAGCAAAATTATACTCTTCAGTACTCTCATCCATCCAGATCAACACAGGACCAGGTATTACTGAGTAAAGGTCCGAGTTGCCACACTTCCTATCACTACATCAAGTAGAAAGGTAGTGAGGTGAAGGATGAAGATAAGAGAATGTAGTCCGAAGTGGTGACATTCGGTATAATGTCGTTAAGATGAGGATAATGTATGTATACATCTGCGCCATTGACATTGGTTCTGAACCATATCCCATAGAGTCTCCAACCACTGGTTCCTCTTGTTCTGCAGTACTCTTACTACTCTTCTTTATGAATAAGTCAATTAAGGAATCGACTAGGAATTTGTTGAATATTGGATGGCTGACATTTGATATCCGTGTATTATTACCGGCTATAACAATATAGCAATGGTGACTGTAATAGGATATTGAGAAATGAATTCTTTCAAGTTGGACAATTTCATCGAATAATAAATGAAGATTTTGCTGATCAAGATGATTCTTGGAAGGTACATCTTCTGCCTTCGACCTACTCCACATGAGATAGACCAATACTGCAATATGATTACACCGAAAAAACCCATGTGAACACACTTTCAACGTCCCAGTCCAGATACTGAATGAAATGTCTGTACAGTATCGACGACAAGGCAATCTGCAGTTCGATAAGAGTTTAGCCTAATCCGGACGCCAGGGTGGTTCTCAAGTACACATACTTCGCTAGACATCTCATTCCTCCGCATCAACCTTTGGTCTTATCTCATCTGTTCATCGGCCCGATAATTCATGCCATACCAACCGACCCTAAAGAAGACACTCCTATCGTCTTGCTAGTATTGTGGTACCTGGCACTGCGTCAAATCTTGTCCACATAAACAACATCGATGTCAGGACTGTAATGCTGGGGTCATGAGGATGGTTTTTGTCGCCAACACATACAACAGCGTGTACAGAGGTCATCCTCCAGAGATCACCGCAGATCTCATCTCGAACGGTTTATACACCTGCCCACCGGAAGAATATCGAGAAGACTAATTTTCCCCCCAGTAAACAGGAAGAAACTCTCTCTGTGTCAATCAGATAGACGCAAAAAAAGGTAGTGAGACTGCGTCCGACCCCAAGTCAAATTCTTTCAAAGAGGAAGGTGATATAGGGATAAAGAGAAAAGCCTTGTCTGGAGAGTGATAAGTTAAAATATAATTTATATGATCACGTCTCTACAGTTAAACAGACAAACATGCGATGAATCAGCCAATCAACAACGAACTATCCTTATATAAGCTGCATTTTTCTTTGTTTTGGGCCTTTGGTCTTTCGACCCCAATACACGTTTCTACACATCCATTAAGTCTTCTCCATTCATAAGTTGGGTCGGCAATCAACTTGGAGTTTGTTGAATATTGGTGGCTGACAGTTGATATCCATGTATCTTTAGCAGCCATATCATATAGTAATTTTCCAAGCCGTAACCAGTACGTGAAGGATAACCAACAGCATTATTATATTATTATTTTTCCCTGGTTCCTAATGGAGCATAGGACTTCAGTAAAACGCTTCAAATGCACTCTCTTCTCTACAGTCTTTTCAACCTCGCTCCATGACTGCCCATAAGCTTTCATTTCTTCCTCACATGATCTCCTCCATGTCACCGTCACCTCGGACGCCTAACTCGTCGTTCCCCTTTGGATTCCACTCGACGGTCTGGCCTGGTGCCTAATGTCCCCAGTCGGCCTTCTCAGTATATGCCCAATCCATCTCCACTTTTTTCTGCATATTTTTTGGGCGATGGGTTCTTGGTTCATTGGTTCCTTGTTGCTTATTCTCATTATTTTGGCCATCTGATCTTCAGTATCGAGCGTAGGCTGCAGCTGTTGATGAATGTCTGTAGTTCGTTGGAAGTGCTTTTCATCATGCGCCCAGTTTCTGAACTATATAGCAGCACTGGCTTGACTGGTGTTAAAAATCCAGATCTTGTTCTTTGTGCTGAGTGCAGTAGATCTCCATGCTGATTTCAGATTAATGAAAGCCTGTCTTGCTTTTCCGATCCTGGTTTTGACATCCTTGTTTATGCTGCCGCCACCAGTAGTTGAAGTGATGTTGCCTAGGTAGGTGAAAGAGACAACTTCCTTGAGATTTCTCCCGTTCATGGTGAGTGGTGCTTGTTGTTGTTGGTTAGGTATCTTCATCACCAATCTGTGTGTGTGTGTATGTATGTTGGTGTGGAGCCGAGTACACATCAGTCATACCATGCACCACCCTGTGAGACGCGCTCATGAACGCTACACAAACTGGCTGATAAGGGCGGGGAGAAAAAGCCTCCTTAACACTGAGTAAATTCATGACAGTTGACTACCTTGGATAATTCCTTCAAAGTTTTCTACAATGTCACTCGAAGGGAGTATGTACAGCTGAAGAACAATTAGCCATTCAAATGTTTAGACCATCATTATGCATTCAGAAAAAGTACTGAACACCCTCTTAATAATATCTTGTTCTATAATCATTTGTTTATTCTCCTATTTTAAACAACCATAGAAATTACGTAACTCCCTTTTGTTATACACTTTGCTTTGACCTTAGACTGGCAATTACTCCAGAATGTTTTATCCTTTCAACTATACATTCATGAATGGAGAGCTAAGTATTATGGCCCGCCGTACGAAACTCCAACGCGATACGACTGAAAGTATATTTACTTCAACTGAATCTACATAGCTGAAAATTCAGTCGTTTATATATCCTTAGATGACCTTGGCCAGAGAAAATAAAATAGCATATTAAAAGTTCAAAATGAACCAATCAGAGTTAGTTACCCTACACCGCGGTAAAAATAGGTAACACTGCATAGCGTAAAAAGGGCGCCAAAATAAGGTTTAAATTTTACAATGATAATATAAACATATGATAAGTTTCTTCTTCTGAAGGATTAGGCATCGTAACATTTTCCCCCTTTTGCTAAAAAAAATTCAGTTTGTTACTTTGGATCCAGCTGGAATCGAACTGTGCAATTTCTATGCCGATTTGACCAACGTCGAGGTAGTAGTTCTTTGTTTTTCAGAGGTTTTGTAGGCATCTTGTATGCGTAGTATTGAGAACGTATCCAGTAGGCTTGGCAGTGGGATGCCGTTGGATTTTATTTCTTCGACTGGTTCCGCTCACGTTACATCCAAAGTTCTGTTCCCACTGTAACATTATATAACAGGCAACCGCGCCTGTCGATAATTACACTTTCAATCCATTTTTAATATCATGGCCTGTAGTCTCTGACTGGCGTTTCGATCTCAAAATACTTTTGACAATGTTGGTAACCTTTTTGGCTGTTCTTTCGGAAATTACAACATCAATACGATTCTATGTAACTTTCTCCCATTAGTACTTCTGATTGAATTCGGTGGTCGAGGAGTAAATTAGTTGATGTTATTGTTCGATATATAAGTAGGAAGTTTTGAATTATGTCCAGTGATGTACCTTCCCCCTGTACTTTCAGTAAGCTAAGAGAATAATTACGTTGGATAGAAAAATTTCTCTCCGTTGAAATCATCTGCTTACATCGTTTAGTGAAGATGGGAGGAATTAAATAACCAATAATTCTTACGATAAGAAAACTAGTCAAACATATGAATGAAGTAAACGATATTCCAATGCTAACTGACAGTATTTTTATGCTGGGAGACGACAAATCAGTAAAGGTTCGGACACAACTTTCAACCTATATTCCTTCGACTTTCTCTAATAAAATATGTCTTTATGTACTTTTTTTACTCCCAACAGTGAAGGATCGAATTCGATCCAATCAACAACGGGATAATTCATGCAATAACATTAAAACCATACTCATCGCAGTCGCTGTCGTAATTGAATGACCTAGTGGATAACGCTTTGGCAATTGAAGTGATCGTTCCCGAGTTCGAGTCTTGGTAGGAGTAACATTGTTCATTGAAAGGCAGGTATATCCAAATGATGAGTTCAAAAAAAACGATGGAACCAACGTGTTGGATTCCACTGCTAGCTACTATCTATCATTAATAAATACTCCACAGTTAGTTATTAACCCCTAGAACATTTGAGAAGTAACGAGTAAAGGTGAGAACAAAACAAGATATTGGCAGAATAGAATGAGTTTTATTCTGTTTAGCAGTTTATCCACATTTATAGACAGAATAGTCATCAATGTATGATCTTAGCACAGAAGCGTATCAGTTCACTGCTGTCTGACTGCTGTCTTACAACTCATAATCAGCTGAAATCTCCTCTCTCCTAAGTGAACATCTTTGACTGTTGCGAAATGAAGATAGGCTCAAATTTCAATCAGCAGTTTCTTTCTAACCTCTCATCTACAAGCTTCAAATGAAGAAACTGGTTAACCAAGTTATTAAACTGTGTTCCTCTATCAGTCTGATTGTCAAGCTGGTGTAGATATGACAGATAAACGTTTAGTTTTCACCTCACCATCAAACATTTTCAGTCCGACCTTCCATACACTTTCACTCACTCACTGACTCACTCACTCACTTACTGCAACTCACTCACTCTGCAACTGACTCCACTTGACAAATATCATCAACAAAGCTGGAACTAGGTTGGTATTTAAACCTACAAACTCACTCAGAGATAAACTTTGTCGACTAGCTTAAGGATCCGATAGAACCAATTAAGCAAATAGTGTAATCTATAAATTCCATATAATGACTGTGAAATAGGTCAAGTGTATAGGTGAAACAAGTCGATGGGGATCAGTTAGATTAGCGGAAAACAGGAATTCAGGTGAATATAGAATGAAAGACCCGAATAAGATCACATTATCTAGGAAAATACTCAGCTATTGCATTGCATGCATTATTACACACACACACACACACACACACACACACACACACACACACACACACACACACACACACACACACACACACCACACAATAGGGTGGGTGGGATAAAACCACTGTAATTAAGAAGTTCAATGCAGTCAGAATGGAGAAGGAGATTGACTTCTGGATCCCCTGTCCATCGAATCAATCAACACCCAACAGATGTAATAGGAATGATGTCACACCCATATCAGAGATATGGAACATTTTACTACTAATAGAATAGGCAATACTGTATCATCAATAGCTCTACACTAACACATGGCATTTTCATAAACTTAAAATTACATACCAATCTAGTAGTGAGAGTTGTTCAATGAAAGGTGTTGTATCAATCTCAAAGTATCAAGAAGGTGATAATTGATCAGGTGGTAATTAAGACAGTGTTAACTAAAGCATAGGAGATTAATTATCGTAGAATGATTTTGCGAACAGGTTCTTACATAATTGATATTTTATATAGTGATAACTAAAGCGCGAAAATGAACTGTTACGTAAAATGGTAAATTGTTGACGGTAATTAGAGACAGTAGGGGGAGAGGAGGATGGCTAAATCCATAATAATAATAATAATAATAATAATAATAATAATAATAATAATAATAATAGAGCTGTTAAAATATTACTTATAGTCAATTGTGTGGTGAATGAAATGAAGGATGTTGTTGTGATAAATAAGCTATACAGATGGCCAAGGCAAAGAATGAGGCTGTACGAATCTCTTCTGAACGCACAGACTTGGCTTGTTTAGGTGGATTCCTATGGCTTCTGCTGCGTGTAAAAGACGAACTCGTAGAGGATGGGTGAGGTTAGAAGCAATGTGATAAATAACTTTAAAGGCATTATGAATGTTAACTCGGTGGCCGGTGTCAATGAGATGAGAGAGTATTGAGTTTCGTGTCAGTCTGGTTTCCCCCTTACTTAGCCATGAAGGATGATGCTCGGTGATTCGACGACGGACTCGCCAAACTGTACGTCCAATGTAACTAGCTCCACAGGAGCAGTTGAACTGGTAAATGCACATGGAAGAAAAGGAGTCAGGTAGTCTGTCTTTAGTTCGTGTGATCATCATCGACCGGCTGTAGAAAACACAACATAACTTGGTGGCGTCAACAATCTACCATTCTACGTAACAGTTCATTTTTGCTCTTTAGTTATCATTATATAAAATATCCCAAGTAATCCACAATGGGAAGCTCAGTGATGCCTTTGAAGTGAGGACAGGAGTGAAACAAGGTTGCCTACTATCCCCCATGATATTCCTTATTGTGGTGGACTGGATCATGCAGCAAACAGTAGGCAGCGAGAAGAGGGGGATACACTGGACGACGGAAAAGAACCTAGAAGACTTGGATTTCGCCGATGACTTATGCCTAATGTCACACAAACTTGAAGATCTGCAGGCAAAAACTAACAAGTTGATAGAAGAGGCAGCGAAGACGGGACTTCAGGTGAATATAGAGAAGACAGAAGTGATGAAGATACTGCACCACCACCATCAACAACAACAACAAACTCCAATCACCGTCAACGGGAGAAACTTGAAGGAAGTAACCTCCTTCACTTATCTAGGAAGCACTGTTTCAACTACAGGCGGGACGGACGAGGACGTCAAAGTCAGAATCGGAAAAGCAAGACAGGCCTTCATTAGCCTGAAACCAGTGTGGAGATCTTCTGCACTCAGCATGCGGAACAAGATACGGATTTTCAACACCAACGTCAAGTCAGTGCTCTTGTATGGCTCAGAGACTTGGCGCGTCACGAAAGGCATTTCCAATAAACTACAGACATTCATCAACAACTGCTTGCGCTCGCTGCTGAAGATCAGATGGCCAGAAAAAATAAGCAACAAGGAACTCTGGGAACGAACCAACCAAGAAGCTATCGCTGAACAAATATGCAGGAAGAAGTGGAGATGGATTGGCCATGCACTGAGAAGGCCGACTGAGGACATCACGCGTCAGGCCCTCGAGTGGAATCCCCATGGGAAGCGACGAGTTGGACGTCCGAGGGTGACATGGAGGAGGTCATGCGAGGAGGAAATGAGAGCTTCTGGGCTGTCGTGGAACCAGGTTCAAAAGATCTCGGAGAACAGAGGTCACTGGAGGCGTGCTACCGAAGCCCTATGTTCCACTAGGAACCCAAGGGACTAATAATAATAATAATAATATAAAATATCAATTATGTAAGAACCTGTTCACAAAATCATTCTACTATAATTATTCTCCTATGCTTTATTTAACACTGTCTTAATTACCACCTGATCAATTATCACCTTCTTGATACTTTGAGATTGATACAACACCTTTCATTGAACAACTCTCACTACTAGATTGGTATGTAATTTTAAGTTTATGAAAATGCCATGTGTTAGTGTAGAGCTATTGATGATACAGTATTGCCTATTCTATTAGTAGTAAAATGTTCCATATCTCTGATATGGGTGTGATATCATTCCTATTACATCTGTTGGGTGTTGATTGATTCGATGGACAGGGGATCCAGAAGTCAATCTCCTTCTCCATTCTGACTGCATTGAACTTCTTAATTACAGTGGTTTTATCCCACCCACCCTATTGTGTGGTGTGTGTGTGTGTGTGTGTGTGTGTGTGTGTGTGTGTGTGTGTAATAATGCATGCAATGCAATAGCTGAGTATTTTCCTAGATAATGTGATCTTATTCGGGTCTTTCATTCTATATTCACCTGAATTCCTGTTTTCCGCTAATCTAACTGATCCCCATCGACTTGTTTCACCTATACACTTGACGTCTAACAGGTATCTTCACTTCAAGTCATCTCATCCAATGTCAGCCAGTCAGTCAGTCAGTGAAGGAAGGTCTAGTCTAATGTCTAAATGATAGAGCTGGCAAACTGATTAGTCACTGCAAGGATTTAAACAAGGAAGTGAAGCACACAAAATATGCACTAATAGTTAATAATTATCCTGTATTCTTCATTAAGAAATTCGTAGAATCACACAAGAAACGAAATAATAAGAATAAGACGAGTGAGAAGGAGTTGACAATCTGCATTGTGTTACCCTATATGGAAGGTACATCAAAAACTTTATGTAGGATACTCAGCATTCCTGGAATTAGGGGGGCATTTAGACATAGAAACTGATTCAGAGATGAGCTTTGTCGACTGACTTAAGGATGTGATGGAACCAATTGAACAGAATAATCTAATTTATGAAATTGGATGTATTGACTGTGAATGAGGTAAAGTTATATGTGAAACTAGTCGTTTAGGATTAGTTCGATTGGGATTTTAACTAAATAAAGAAGTAAGATATTGGTTGATGAGATGATATTAGGCGTAAAGTTATGCTTGATGTTCACAGTCTTCATGTTTTGAGACAAAACATATGAAGCAAACAGAAGGATCAGCAATATCCCCCAATCGTAGCAGATATATTTATGGATAGTTGGGAAAACGTGGCTTTACAAACGTATAATCCTGCACCTAAGATATGATTTCGATATATGGATGACACATTCACTAGTGTGTTGAAATGGGAACATATCGACAATTTCCTGATATATAACACATAAACTGAATCATAGGCGCAATACAATTCAATTATGAGGAGGTAGAAAAGGAACGAAGAGAATTGCTTATCTTGGAATGCAGGATAAAGCGAAGGAGAGACGTCAGTGGTTCGGATACAACCATGTACAGAAAACCAACACCTTCCACCAACAGGTATCTCGACTTCAGGTCACCTCATCCAATGTCAGTCAGTCAGTCAGTCAGTCAGTCGGTCAGTGAAGGCAGGTCTAGTCAAATGTCTGAATGACAGAGCTACAAATCTCATTAGCGTTCTAGTTAATAACTATCCTGTATTGTTCACTGAGAAGTTCGTAGAATCACACAAGAAACGAAATGATAAGAATAAGACGAGTGAGAAGGAGTTGACAATCTCCATTGTGTTACCCTATATGGAAGGTACATCAAAAACTTTATGTAGGATACTCAGCATACCTGGAATTAGTTATGGTGGCATTGTAAAACTTGAAAACTCATTCGGAGATAAACTTTGTCGGTTAGTTTAAGGATTCGATGGAACCACTTCAGTAAAACAATCTAATCTATCCAATTCTATGTAATAAATGTGGGTGAGGTGTTAGTACATAAGAATTTAGCTAAATATAGAATGAAAGACCCGCCTATCACCATGCAACAATTAACAATATAATATAGTGGATGAGATGAAATCACTGTACTCAAGTCCAATATAGTTAGGCAGTGTCCATCGAATCAGCTAACACCCAGCACTTGTAATAGGAATGATGTCATATCCATATCAGAGATATGGAAGATTTTACTACCAATGGAAACAAACAATATGAGTTGGATGATGGGACTATAAAAAGGAAATATCGAGAGTTGTATGTGTGTGTGTGTGTGTGTGTGTGTGTGTGTGATCATACATTGAGGTATGATTATGAGTAATGATAATTTATACTGGTAACGTGGTTATCAAGTGAATAAGGTAATACTGTATCAGTCAGTGTGTTCTATATCAATTAAATAAACAAATTTATTGAGTAATAAAGCTTACTCCATCATTGCTGCATCCAACTGGTAGAGAACACCTTTCAAAGTATCTCTATGTGTTGTTAATGGTGGCCAATGACGATAGGCAGTGAATATTGCAACAGTTGCGTCTATTTCATCATCACATACAGCTGGCTATAAGTGATTAAAAATTTATATCATAAATAAATAGTAAACTATGAGTATTGTTTATATAAAGCTGAATTTTAAATGAAAAGTATAGTTAATCTTTCGACAATTCAAATGCAAGCCCTGATAAACTTTCCGTAATCCTCTCTGATCCCACTAAGTTTAGTAAACCCGAAGGTGAGCCCAATAAGACACATATAATTGAAACACAACTCACAAATGTCTTAAAAAGCATGAGGGATAAATCAATAATTGATCCTGATTTATATGAACGTATCCGACCGGTTGGCTCTATAATCCCACGTCTATATGGACTACCGAAGATACATAAAGCGGGATTACCTCTTCGTCCGATCCTCGATATGGCTGGTTCTCCCTATCACCGAACTGCTCAATGGTTAGCTGAAATTCTGGAACCTGTTAGAAGGCAAGTATCGAGTTTTTCTATCCGTGATACATTTCAGTTTGTTGAGGGTATTAAGGATTTTAATGCTCTAAACAAGATGATGTTTTCATTAGACGTCACTTCATTGTTCACGAGTGTGCCACTCACCGAAACTGTCTGTTATGTATGTGACTATATTGATGCACATAATTTAGACGTAGGACTACCAACGAGCTGCTTGAAAGAGCTTTTGTTGAGGTGCACATTTAATGTCCAATTCAGTTTCAATAATGAAATCTATAGACAGAAAGATGGAATTGCGATGGGGTCACCATTGGGACCACTGCTAGCAGATTTCTTCATGTCGAAACTGGAAAATTCACAACTTCGTCAAACTATTGATAGCTTTGACTTTTATAGAAGATATATGGACGACACGTTTGTTATTTGCGACAAAAATGTAGACCTCGACGATGTGCTTCGTTCATTCAATGAATGTCATCAAGCCCTCAAGTTTACTATAGAGAAGGAATCAGAATCAACTATTCCTTTTCTTGATGTGCTTCTCACCCGACGTCAGAATGGATACCTTAAAAGATCCATCTACAGAAAACCAACGTGGAACGGACAACTAACTAATTTTTATAGTTGGGTGCCCATCAACAGAAAAAGAAATCTTATTCACTCTCTTTGCTATCGAATAAGAAGTATCTGTAGTGACGATTGTATCGAGAAGAGCTATCTTTTTAAAAAGCATACTTGTCGAAAACGGTTACCCTAGCCGTTTTATTGATAAAAATATGCGGGAAAGAAACACTAAACCAGTCATCCACTCGGTCTCAAAGAAAAGATTGTTTATGAGCCTAGAGTTTAAAGGAGACCTAGCATCGGATGTACTGAAGAATCGTCTTACCAGATCAATCAATAGGACTTTCTTCGCAGCAAGACTCCAGTTGACTTTTACCAGCCGCAACCTATTCTCCACCTGCGTCAAAGACAAGCTTCCTCGTTTGGCCGCCTCTATGTGCATCTACCAGTTCACCTGCTCTTGTGGAGCAAGGTACATCGGCCGTAGCCAGAGAATGCTTTCTACACGTATACGAGAACATGTTCCTGCTTGGTTTTATAAAGGTGAAAGAAAGTCTGTTAGAAGTTCGATTCTAGAACATTTGATTGACTTAGATCACAATTGACTTTGAAATTATTTATCAAATTCGCCCAAACCTCCCACGTTCTCTTCGTTTTCAACTCCTTAAAACAGCGGAGGCTTTAGCTATTCATGAACTAAGACCTGATCTGTGTGTACAAAAGAAGTATGTGCAGTCACTGTCTTTATCATGGCCATAACATTTTCCCACCCCATTAGCTCCCCCCCCCACTTTGTTAATTTAACCTTTGTATCCTTCCTTTATCACTATTATTGTTATTATAATCGCCTTCACTTCAACTAGTTTCCGGTGTTGTTTCACTTAATTGTCTTAATCCTTTTAGAAAACATTGACTTCATCTTGTCCAATTTGTCTAATGCCATTACATAATACTTAATTGATTTACCATTTTCAATAATTTTTTCACCCCCTTCTGAGTTATATACTCTCTATGTACCATTCCATATATTACATAATCTATTTGTTATCATTCGCACTTCAATTGTTATTATAATCATAAATGCCTGTCTCATCACCCGCTCTATTATTATTGTCATCACCATATAGTGTTTAGTTTTCCTCACAGGATATAATTTTTTCCAAATATCATATATATACGAACGTACAGCTTGAAAATAAATTCGTTGAAAAGAGTCTCTTCGCCGAATATCTTGTTCTTAGTTTAAAATTCTTAAATTTTGGTAGAAAGAATCTTTCAAGTTGTTATTCATCGAAGACTGACATCAGTTGGAGGAACAAAGGAAACCTGGGAGCACTGGACAGCTGTTTCGTCCTAGTATGGGACTCCTCAGCAGTGCGCATCTTTGTATAACTGAAATGACTGTATGATGATTAATAATAAACATACAGCACGATACTTGAATCAAATACGAGTATCGACTGTTCTCCTTCACACTTGATAATACTTTAATGAACAGTGAAAATTAGAAGAGAAAGATCAACTTGTGACTGTGACAAAAAACAAGCAAGCAAACAAACAAACATCATTTATGCGTAGTTTTTTTTTTCTCTCTGAAAATAAAGCCATTAGGTCAAATCTTAGATGTTTATTTTGATTGGTTAGCTGAAGGACAAAATTGTCCAATCAGGTTTTTCCTATCCATATATACATTAACATGAAATAGAGATCGAAATATAAAATTTAATTCTGGCAAATGAATGAACCTTCAATACTTTAACACTGTTTCCATATTATATAAGCCTCTTTCACCTATCTCAGCAACACTGTTTCAACTATAGGCGGCACAAACGAGGACGTCAAAGCCAGGCGTTTATTAACCTGAAACCAGTATGGTGATCCTCTGCAATCAGCATAAAGCATGAACAACATTCGAATTTTCAACACCAATATAAAGTCAGTGCTTCTATATGGTTGAGAGAGTTGGTGCATTATGAAAAGCATTTCTAACAAACTACAGATATTCACTAACAACTGTTGCTTACGGTGGCTCGTTACTGAAACTCAGATGGATTGCCAGAAAGAATAAGTAACAAGGAACTCTGACCTGGCAAGGAACCAACCAAGAACCTATCAACCAACAAATATGCACTGGAAGGAAGTGGAGATGGATTGTGCATACACTGAGAAAGTCGATTGGGGACATCACGCGCTAGGCCAGACCGTCGAGTGGAACCCAGATGGGAAACGACGAGTTGGGTGTCCAGGGCGAGGGTGACATCGAGGAGATCGTGCGAGGAAGAAACGAGGGCTTCTGGGCTGTTGTGGAACCAGGTTCAAAAGTTTGCAGAGAACAGTGGAATGGAGACGTGCTACTGAAGCCCTATGTTCTATTAGGAACCCAAGGGACAAATAATAATACTGTTAAAACTTGATCAGCTAACTGTGACATATAATTGAATATCAGTTCATCAACTATCATAGGATGTTTCGTGCTATACAGATCTCTTCAGTATCGAAGTGACTGATCTTCTGTAGATAGAAGACTGAGCATTTTTAACGAATGAAATCATGATATACATTAGAAGATGGTAGTTGATTGCAGGCGATCGACAAGAAGCCATTCCTTTACTCGGTTTCGTGCTTGTTGGCATTGGATAGCAAGGTATATCTCCAACCTTGGCCTTAGATTCGAACCCATATCACCCGGTGTTGCAGTCACCAACATTACCACTAAGCTATTCAGGCCCCAACTGACCTCTTGTTCGACTGGATTACATACATTGATTGGTTACTGATTGAATTTCATCGACCATATAGAAATCTGGCCACCCAGGTAAAGAGGGGATATCGGTTCACTTGAGGTTGCAGAGATACGCCTTGCTGACGTGTGCCAACAAGTACAAAACCTATGTCAAGTGGTGCCTCCTTCAACCCACTAACATCCACCAAAATGTACGGAGATGATGAACCTCCGAGCATCATGATCATACCGCCAAATATGATCGACAGAATTCTATCAGCGGGACAAGAAGAACAAGTGATTGGAGACTCTACGGGATATGGCTCAGAACCGATGTGAGTGGTGCAGATGTATCCCCACACACATTATCCTCATCTTAACTACACTACACCGAATCTCATCATTTTGTCACTCCTCTTTCCTTTCTTCTCATGCTTTATATTTCTTGAGACTGTATTCTCTTACCTTCATCCTTCACCTCACTACCTTTCTACTTGATGTAGTGATAGGAAGTGTGGCAATTCGGACCGTTACGCAGTAATGCCTGGTCCTATGTTGATAATGATTGATTGATCAGTACTCAGAACTAGTCAACATGAAACTGGTTACTTTCCGGTGACTAATCAATCAATGTAGAAGACAATTACAATGTGAAGATAGTTTTCATCACAAAATTAGCATCTCGTACACCTTTTTCTTGTTTCATTTTGACAAACATAAAGACTAGGCATACTATCTAGTTTATACATATCAAGCTAAGATGGTGTTGCAATGAAAAAAAGCTCCCTATTATTATTTGTCCTTTGGGTTCCTAGTGTAACATACAGCTTCGGGAGCACATCACCATTTCACTCTCTTCTCTACAGTCTTTCTAACCTGGCTCCACGACTGCCCATAAGCTTTCATTTCTTCCTCACATGATCTCCTCCATGTCACCTTTGGACCCCCAAATAATTCGTCGTTTCCCACTTGACTTCAACTCGAGGGCCTGGCCTAACGCTTGATACCCCCAAACTGTCTTCTCAGTGTGCCCAATCCATCTCCCTTTTTATTTTCTGCATCTTTGTTGGGCAATAAGTTCTTGCCTCGTTGGTTCATTGCCAGCTACAGTTCCTCCTTGCTTATTCTTTCTGCTCATCAATCCGGTCTCCATCTTCAGTATCGAGTGAGCGTAGGCGGCAGATGTTCATATATGATATCTGTTGGAAATACTTTTCGTAACCCGCCGAGTCTCTCAACCATCATGTAGAAGCACTAAATTGACTGACATTAGTAGTGTTGAAAATGCGCACCTTGTTCACGCTTTATGCTGAGTGCAGTGCAGTAGATCTCAATACTGATTTTGCGGTTTCGGCTTTAACATCCTCATCTGTGCCTGTGCCATCACCTGTAGTTGAAACGATGCTGCCTTGGTAGGCAGGTAGGTAGTTAGGTGAAAGAAACTTCGTTTAGATTTCTCCAGTTCATTGTGATTGGTGCTTGTTTTTGCTGTTGTTGTTGGTTGGGTACCTTCATCACCTCTGTCTTCTCTACGTCCACCTGAAGGAAGTCCCGTCTTCGATGCCTCTTCTGTCGACTTGTGAGTTTTCACCTGTACATCTTCAAGTTTGTGCGACATTAGACAATAGACATAAATCATCATCGGTGAAATCCAAATCTTTTAGAGTCTTTTCATCGGTCAAACAGCGTATCCCCATCTTGTCACTCCTCACAGTTGTCGGTTGCATGATCTAGTCGAGTCAAGCCGACCACAATCAGGAAGATGATCGGGAATAGTAGGCGGCAATCTTGTCTTACTCGTGTCTTCACTTCACTTGAAAGGCATCATTGAGCTTCCATTGTAAATCACTTGAAATGTAGCATCATATAGTGTATAGCTGCTGTTGAATGAGGTTGATCAACGTTTGTGTCACTAAAGCCGTCGTGCTAGAGCAGCTGCCAAATTACTTCTCGGTCGACGCTATTGAAGACCTTTTCAAAGTTGATGAAATTGAGGTGAAGAGTTGATTGACATTCTTATACTCTGTTCTATGATGATGCGTAGCGTTATTTCTTCTTCGTAACCAAACCCCAGTCAATCTTACTTGTTAACCAATCAGCTGTCTCCTAGTTTAAGACACAGAGATATAGTTCGAAAGTCAATGGCCCAGTATAAAAACAGATACGAATTTCATGTATTCGATATAATACTCATTGAAACCTAGTTTTAGCTACTACATATACTCATAGCTCCCCCCCCCCTCTTGCAAATCACCACATTGATAACTTAGAAATTGAGTTTTCCAGTTTGAAGTTCATACGAATTTTATTTTCAACAGAGTATTTCATGACGGATTGACAATAGTTGAAGAATCATTCAAAGTCTGAGAGAACTCGATAGCTGTTTCATCCCAGTATAAAACTCTTCTATAGTACAGATACACGATTCCACACTGCCAGGGACTTTCCGAGTTCATGGCGAACATATTAATCATTCAGCTCTTGAGTTATGAGAGTTGAATGGTTCATTTGTCTACTTCTGAGCATTCATGTGTGATATAGCCGAACTATTCACTAAGGTCCTGGGTTCGATCCCAGGCGGATGAGAGTCGTGTATGGGTACTACTGAGGAATTCTATACTGGAACGAAACAGCTAGCCAGGGCTTCCAGACTGAATATTGTTTTAGTCCCAGATGAATTTATTTTCCTGTTGCGTGAACTAAGCAATCTTTTCATTTATCCTTTCATTAGAAATTGTAAACGTGGTCAGATCATATATAATATCAAGGTAGTATTCATCATGGGTTGACATCAACTGTTTCATGCTTGTTGGCACTCGTCAGCAAGGCATGTCTACAATCTCTATGGAACTGATGTCCCGCATGAGATTCGAACTTCAGCGATTTTACCACTGAACTATTCGGGCTGCGATTAACCTCCTCCTCTAGGACTAGGTTACATGTATTGATTAGTTACGGGAGTGCAACCAGTTTCATGTTGTCTACAACACTGAGTGATGAGGGGTTCGAGTCTCAGGGAGGACATCAGTCCCGTCAAGATAGCAGATACGCCTTGTTTATGAAAGCCAACAAGCAGGAAACGTATATTTAGGGCTTCCTGTTGATTCCCTCCAACTAACTAACACCGACTAATGTGCACCGCGATGTTGGACCTCTTAGCTTGGTGGCCACATTGCAAAGATGATTGTTACGATTCGGTCTACACTCAGTACTGATGCCTAAATTACTAATTTATTAAAAGAAATAATATAGTAAAAAGTATAGTAAAATATTTTGTGATTGGATTACTTCTTATTCGAACTTACCAGTACAGTAAACTTCCCAGATAGTAGTTCTCGTCGAACTCCGTCTTCTAAAGGGTCGATTGAATCTACATTTTCTGTATAGCGCATACGCTGAATTATTGGGGGGGGGGGGGAAACATATATATATACAGCACGTTAAGTTATTAAACTGTTTTTGCTCTTTCTTCAAATAAAATACACTGACATACACTGAGAAGGCCGACTGGGGACATCACACGCCAGGCCATGCCGTCAAGTGGAACCGAAATAGGAGACGATGAGTTAGTTGGGCGTCCAACGGTGACATGGAGGAGATCGTATGAGAAAGAAACGAAAGCTTATGGGCAGTTGTGGAGCCAGATTAAAAAGACTTCAGAGAAGACAGTGAAATAGTGACGTGTTACTGAAGCCCTATGTTCCACTAGGAACCTAATGGACAAATAATAATAATAACAATAATACCATAGATTACCCTTAAAGGCTTGTATACTTCAGTCAATATCTGGTAAAACATGCTATTCGGTTACTTTTTAGTCAAACACTTTAAGCATCTACACTTGAGAAGACTTTGAAGTCTTTAGTTCAGTAAGGGACTTGATATCATTGTGAAAGAGTCCAAGTTGTCACATCATACATCAGTACATCAAGATATAAGGTAATAAGATGGTAAAACAGAAAAACAATGAAGGGTAAGAAAGTAGGCGATCAAAATAAAACGTTTTGGTTTACTTGTTGGCCAGCAATGGAATCCAAGATAGATCATCATCATCATCATTATCAACATAGGACCAGGCATTACTACGTAACGATCCAACTTGCCACACTTCATATCAGCACATCAAGTAAAAAGGTAGTGAGGTGAAGGATGAATGCAGTCAAAAGAAATATAAAGTACGAGAAGAAAGGAAAGAGGAGTGACAAAATGGTGAGATTCGGTATAGCGTTGTTAACATGAGGATAATGTGTGTATACATCTGCGCCCACTAACATAGGTTCTGAGCGATATCACCTAGAGTCTCCAACCATTGGTTCCTCTTGTCCCGTGGACCCCAACCACCTAGTCTGCATCGTCCTACATGGCTTAAACCAACAGTCAGAGACTTCATACATTGGTGCCATGTTTTAGTCTCGCCACCTTCGGCCTTTTGTCAGCCTGGACCCACCTCAGCCAACATTGTGTGACGAGGCAATCGGTGACTAGGCATACGCAGTACGTGTCCCAACCATCTCAGTCGATGAAGGTTCACAGCCTCGTCAACTGATTTACCTCTTCTCCCCAAAATTCTACACCTAACTTCTGCATTACTCACTTGCTGTGGTGACACCACGGAATACGTCCTATACTACGAAGGCAACGGTGGTCAAACACCTGAAGCCTTTTTGTATCCTCCACTTTCAATGGCCATGTTTCACAGGCATAGAGTAGAACAGAGCGGACTGCTGTGCAGTACATGCGAATATCACGGCGGCGCCATAGGTGGCGTAAATTGGCAAAAGCCAATCGAGCCTTTTGTATCCGTGCAGAAATCTCATCGGCAACTAACCCACCGGGGTTAGAGTTTATCAGCTGCATGTACTTTCACCCTAATAAGAAGTGGTGTTGTCCACAACTGAGACTCGAATCAACTATGGATCGCTTCAAAAGCTGAAAAGCGTTATCCACTAGGCCACTGAGTCATGATGTTCTTGATTCATGTCAGGTTTCGCAGGACAGATTATAACACACAAATACGTTTTTATGTGGAGGTTTGTGAATACTGATCAATTGATTTTAAGTTGGAATTCATCACAGACTGACATTAGTTGGAGGAACATTGAAAACCTGGGAGTAGTTGGTAGCTGCTTCGTCCTAGTATGAAACTCCTCGTGAGTGCAAACCCATGAACCCCGTCTGGAATCGAAATCAGGACCTTCAGGTCCCATGGCCAACACGTTACTATTGGGCAACGAACCTCCAAATAGAAATAATCTAGTGCTCATTGGCGACTAGCTTCAAGAGGTGATTCTGTAACTTTCAATGAGAAGTCGTGACCAATCAAGTTAACCAAGTGAAACATGAAGACAGTTACTCAATGACAGCAGTGGATGTAAGTCACGCTAAACCATGAACTGAGAGAAGTAGGAAATGTGGACAACTGAATTCTCCTGACCGGTTGATACTCAGTGGTGACGTGCTGCCTACGGAACATGAAGGTCGTGGGTGCACACTGCTGAGGTGTCCCGTACTAGGACGAAACAGCTAGCTATCCAGCGCTTTTAGGTTTCCAATGTTCCTCCAATTAATGTCAGTCTATGTTATTGCATTAGCTATTTTTGACAAGCTACTGAAATAGAGAGTTGAAGCTGTACCCCATTAGTTAGGGCGGCTGACTTGTAATCAGTGGGTTACAGGTTCGAATACCATCCCTCCACCTACCGAAGTTTAGACAGAAGCCAAGTAGTAGCATTAGCCGTCACACAACAGATGTTTATCCCATTGTCTACTACTGCACAAATATGCACATGGGGTTGCTGAGTGGATTTCGACTTTCTGACTTCGATTCCCCATCATAATATCTTATCCCGAACCTTTGTTTAGTTATCTCGAAATATAATGCATCAGTTGGATTCATAATACACTCAGCATTTGCACTGGTCATTGCTGAAAGGTGTAACAAGGAGACTATATATAATAATTGGAGAAAATTTTGCTACTTCACCAAAATTTTATTATGAGAATTTATTCGATCTTTTATCCATATGATTGATGACAAGTGTGTGATGAGTTGGTAAATATACAGTTAATGAAACCAACTATGAAGGAGATCAAGACGTCGAAAATGGTGTTGATTCCAGATATATTTGTGTCACTGTCACCAAGAGTCCTCGACCACTGATTTCTTTCATCTCGAAGACTCTAATCACACAGTCTACATCTCTCCCCACTCGACTTAAGTCAACAGTCAGAAACTTGATTGACTCGTATCACAACCAAGTGTAAGCAAAATATTTTTCATCAAAAGAACTTTTCTTATCAAATTGAACAAGTGTTCTATAATATTTGAACATGAATAAGGTCAAGACAAGTTAGTGATCAATTTATTCTTACTCAAGAATTATCATGAAGTAAATGTGTCAAGTTTAAATACTGTTGAGAATTAGGTCAACTGGTCAGTAATAAACGTATAGAATAGACAGAACAATATGATACCATCTTACTCACTTCATCAGCTGCTTACAACAGATGAGTTGATAATAACAACAACAACAAGATTGTTGTGAACTTTACCATTAATAATGACGAATATAATAACGGATGACGTAATGGAGCATGAGTAGAGTTTGTATCATGGATTACTAGAATAGTGAGGAGTAATCGACTGCTTCTATTTGGACGTACGAATCCAGTTTTAGCCTTCTGATTGTGGTAACTTCAGAGAAACAGACGCATAACTTCTCTATTTCTGACAGCATTCGGACTCACTTGCTTTACCAATGTCTTACACATGAGCACTAAGAATTTGCAATTCCAACTTGATAACATCCTATCTCTTCAAGTAGCCTTGAACACTCCATATGATCATGTATTAGGCGATGAATTATGCAAGTGAAGAGATGAAATCCTACTCCAGAGATGTGTTAACGATGCATTCAATGGGTGCAACAACTTATACTATACATCTTATTTGCTCAAATGCTTCAAGCAATGCACACAAGAACATTGATTTTACAATGGGTCATGAATACGATGCTAGATTCAACTTTCAAGGTATTAACATCCAATGTAGAACAGATAATAAGCTTAAAAGATCTGATCAAGGGAAATATAGATGGAATGGTACCCCCACTGGATTTGAACAGATTCCGCCCAGTCAGCTATAGACGAGTGTGATAATATAGAACTTGTTCAAGTTGTTATTCATCATTGATTTACACCAGTCGAAGGAACATTGGAAGCCTGGGAGCACTGGACAACAGCTGTTTCGTCCTAGTATGGGAAGCCTTGCCAGTGTGCACTTATGACCCTGCCCACTCCACCAGGGATCCAACTCAGGACCTTCAGGTTCCGCAGCTGGCACGTTACCATTGAGCCACCTGATCGGTATACAGTGGTCCATATTTCCAACTTCTGTCAGTTTCCGACATAGCGTAACCATCACTCCATCTCATAGATGCGTATTTGTCCTCATGGTCACCAGGTTTGCCCAACCGGTCACAACTCACTATAACTTGAAGAATCATCTGTCGTAGCTAATCGCCAATGAGGACTAGATCAATGGAATTTGGTAATTTTTCAAGTTATTATTCATCATGAACTGACATCCCTGGCGGAGTTATTAGTGTATACTGTTGAGGAGTTCTATATGCTAGGACGGAACAGCTAGTTGTCCAGTGCTCCCAGGTTTAAAATGTCCCCTAACCTGATGTTAGTCCATGATGAATATCACCAAATCCCTAATTTAAATAAAGAAATTTATGAATAGATATTTGCAGAGATTTATAAATAAATATGATAGAACTGAATACAACAGTTTGAAGAAAGTTTTAGTTAACACAGTCAGTTTTTGTTTAGCTGAAGTTTAAAGGTAATGATATTGCAGCAGAAACAGTGAATAGAAGGCTGAATAATGTAATGGTCATCATCATTATCAACATAGGACCAGGCATTACTGCATAACGGTCCCACTTGCCACACCTCATATCAGCACATCAAGTAAAAAGGTAGTGAGGTGAAGGATGAAGATAAGTGAATGCAGTCAGAAGAAATATAAAGCATGAGAAGAAAGGAAAGAGGAGTGACAAAATAGTGAGATTCGGTATAGCGTTGTTAACATGAGGATAATGTGTGTATACATCTGCGCCACATGTGTAAGAAACAGTGGGAAGGTTTGGAAAGTTCATAAACTGAAACTTCTACCAAACGTTCCTCGGTTGCTAGGTAACATTAGAAAAAAAATTGAATCATGGCTAATAGATGTTAGTAGGTTAGAGACTGAGAAACTACAATATCCCGACCGATAGTTGATACCTTGATGTGGTGGTCAGGCTCGCATATCACTATGACCCAACGAGCTATGCTGGTGCAGCGCTTATTTTCTCGAGGTCCTACTATACCAGAAAGGTTTGTTGGA